GCCCCCGCCGGCCCCCCAGGACGCTGGCCTAGGCTGGCTGCCTGCTCCTGCATTCCTTCCCCAACCCTCAGACTCCTGGAGTTCCCAGACAGCCAGGGAGGGGTTGAACAGCACCAGGGAGAGAAGTCCAGGGGGAAATAATGGCCAGAGGGATATAAAAGCCACAGGAACCCTTGATTCTTGCCAGCAAGCCTAACTGAGGCCCTGCTGCCAGTCTGAGGCTGCTAAGTGCCCTTCACACGCAGCCTGTTTATAAAGCCCTCCTGGGACCCTATTAGTCAGAATCATAACTATACCCATTTTATATAAGAGGAAACAAAGCTCAGAGGGGGGAAATGACTTGCTCAAGGGCACACAGCCAGTGAGTGGTGGCGTCCAAGTTGAACCCAGATCCATCTGCCTTCACGGCCTCTGCTCCTGGGTCACTGGACCCAGCACCTAGTGAGATCCGCGCCGTCCCTCCCCAGCCCGGCCGCACCTTTGAAGCCCTCCTCGTCCACCATGAGCGTGTAATCCTCGGGAGTCTCCGTCAGGCTGAAGAACTTGCACCTGGTTGGGGGTAGGGGACATCTTCAGCCTGGGCTGGGAGGAGGAGGGTAGACTTCGCTCCATCCGCCCGTAAAGACCCCCTCCCTGCCCCCTCAAGCCTCAATTTTCTCCCAGCGGGGCGTGGGCCCCACCCCCGGAATCGCGAGCAGTTTCCCGCCTCGCGCCTCCCGCCTCCGCAGGAGCCCCCAGCCTCTCCATTCCGGGAGGTCGGAGAGGCTGACCCGGGGCGTCGGACCCGGAGTCGCCTAGACCGGCCCCTCGGACCCGATGGGAGGCGTCTGGAAGAAGCTCCCCGCAGTCGCCAGGAAGGAATACCCCCATTTGATACCACTCGGAGTTCAGCATTGCCCACCTTAGGCTGTTTGCGCCTTAACTGGCCCGGGATAGGCGGCGGTCCCGGCGAGGGTAAGGCCAGGCCGGATGGCGGCCGGAGGGGTGGGGTGGAAGGGCCCTCCCCGCCCGCTCCCGTTCGCCCCCCGCTCGCCCCGCGGCGACTCTAATCTTCCGACCTCGTCCCGGAGCGATAGTGGAGCCCACCCTAATCTGTGGCCCCGAACCCGGGCGCGCACCGGCTTCGGCGGGGCAGGAATAGCAGCTTGATGAGTGGGTGGGTGTAGAGCCAGAGACCGGAGNGCCCCCGCCGGCCCCCCAGGACGCTGGCCTAGGCTGGCTGCCTGCTCCTGCATTCCTTCCCCAACCCTCAGACTCCTGGAGTTCCCAGACAGCCAGGGAGGGGTTGAACAGCACCAGGGAGAGAAGTCCAGGGGGAAATAATGGCCAGAGGGATATAAAAGCCACAGGAACCCTTGATTCTTGCCAGCAAGCCTAACTGAGGCCCTGCTGCCAGTCTGAGGCTGCTAAGTGCCCTTCACACGCAGCCTGTTTATAAAGCCCTCCTGGGACCCTATTAGTCAGAATCATAACTATACCCATTTTATATAAGAGGAAACAAAGCTCAGAGGGGGGAAATGACTTGCTCAAGGGCACACAGCCAGTGAGTGGTGGCGTCCAAGTTGAACCCAGATCCATCTGCCTTCACGGCCTCTGCTCCTGGGTCACTGGACCCAGCACCTAGTGAGATCCGCGCCGTCCCTCCCCAGCCCGGCCGCACCTTTGAAGCCCTCCTCGTCCACCATGAGCGTGTAATCCTCGGGAGTCTCCGTCAGGCTGAAGAACTTGCACCTGGTTGGGGGTAGGGGACATCTTCAGCCTGGGCTGGGAGGAGGAGGGTAGACTTCGCTCCATCCGCCCGTAAAGACCCCCTCCCTGCCCCCTCAAGCCTCAATTTTCTCCCAGCGGGGCGTGGGCCCCACCCCCGGAATCGCGAGCAGTTTCCCGCCTCGCGCCTCCCGCCTCCGCAGGAGCCCCCAGCCTCTCCATTCCGGGAGGTCGGAGAGGCTGACCCGGGGCGTCGGACCCGGAGTCGCCTAGACCGGCCCCTCGGACCCGATGGGAGGCGTCTGGAAGAAGCTCCCCGCAGTCGCCAGGAAGGAATACCCCCATTTGATACCACTCGGAGTTCAGCATTGCCCACCTTAGGCTGTTTGCGCCTTAACTGGCCCGGGATAGGCGGCGGTCCCGGCGAGGGTAAGGCCAGGCCGGATGGCGGCCGGAGGGGTGGGGTGGAAGGGCCCTCCCCGCCCGCTCCCGTTCGCCCCCCGCTCGCCCCGCGGCGACTCTAATCTTCCGACCTCGTCCCGGAGCGATAGTGGAGCCCACCCTAATCTGTGGCCCCGAACCCGGGCGCGCACCGGCTTCGGCGGGGCAGGAATAGCAGCTTGATGAGTGGGTGGGTGTAGAGCCAGAGACCGGAGCGGGCGAGGCTCAGCACCCGCACCCGGTGCTCTAGGATGTGCAGCTCCATCGCGGTCCGTGCGGACCGGACCCGGCCGCCAGCCAGACCCAGGCCGCGCCGGGGGCGGGGCGGGGTGGGGGGGGCGGTGCCAGGGCTTAAAGGAGCCTCCGCACATCCCAGTCAACGCCGCGGCTACGCCTCGGACCCGCCCAGCGCTGGCCGCGTCCGGCTCCCTGACGGCCACGCCCTGCAAGACGCGCGGCCTATCAGGGGCAGCCACGCCTCCTCCAACGCCGAGCTTCAGCCCGCTCCTCCAGTCCGCTGAGCACCGCCCGGACTGGCTCCGCCCCTTAGCAATGGCTTAGGGATCACCCGCTGACCCCACCCCGTAGAGTCCTTCAGACCCCGCCCGTGCCACGCCTCTTCTCGGAGCTCCACCCTTCCACAAGTAGCCCGTGGATCGTGGGGTGGCAAGCTTGTGGGAGACGTGGGGTCGTTTCTGCCCTTCAGGCCCCCATATTGACCTTATGGTTGAGGTCACTGAGGCTTGGAAGGCCCGCGAGGCGAATCAGGGCTTGTCTGGGACCAGAGCGCTGCCTCCAAAACCCTGGAGCATGGAGGGGTTGCGGTCCACTCTGCAGCCCTAGGAACCCTATGATTCTCTCAACAGTGTCCTGGCACCTTTCTTCCTCCTTCCTCTCATGGGATAAGTCTCTCCACCAGGGTCACAGAGATAGTAAGGGCCCCATCCATCTTTGTCATACTGTTGGGTAGGGTGCTGAAGGCAGTCAGGGCTAAGGAGGCCCCCTCAAGACTAAGGCCAGCCATGCCCAAGGCTGACTTCTGGGGCTCACTGGGTACTCAGATCACAGACCTGAGGCTTGAGCCTTGCTGAGGCCTCCAAAGCCAGCAGCCATTAGAAAAACCCATCCAGTCTGAGCATATCTAAACTTGCTTCATGCCCAAGGAGGCCCCTAGCACTGGCAGATGCCCCAGATCTGAGGCTTTTGAGGACCAACTTGGGCTCATTTTGAAGTTAGGATTGGGTTCTGCTCAGGCCTCCTCAGGTCTAAGAAGACTCCAAGGCTGAGCAGGCATCAGCACACCTCGGTTGGCCCAGTAGCAGGACCGAGCATGCTCTGGGGGACCCTTGTCTGGCTCAATCATCTTCGGGCCTCAGATCTGAGGCTCTGAGCCAAGCAGGTTAAAGCAGGCCTCAGGCCTGACTGGGACCCAGCAGGCCTACACAGGCCTCCTGCCTGCTTGGGAGCCTCCACCGTAAGCGGATGGAAGTGGGGCAGTGCCTTCCCTCCCTGGACTCTCTGGCTCAGTGGATTCCTGTGGAACACTGTGCAGCTGCCACATCCTGGCCTGTCCCCTAGAGGATCAAGGGGAGGTGACTGTCCTTAAAAGCTGAGACCCTCATCAATGGTGCAGATGGGGTAGGAAAGCCACAGGCTTGATGTGACGGCTGGGAGGCAGGAAGTGATGGCCTGCCCTGACCCTTGACCTCCACAGGCCTCAGTATACCCAGCTGTATCAGAACAAGATGTTCTAGACTAAAGCCCTGAGATGCCTGAAAGCTCCTAGGGAGGCTCTACTCTTCCCTCTCCTGCACCCTCCCCTCCATAGCCCAACCCAGCTTGGTGGCCTGCCAGGAACAGCAGCTATTGTTTGACTGGAAAAGCTGCTTCCTCAGCAGAAGGGGGGCCTCTCCTAGGGACACCCTGTCCATAACCTCACCAGTCATCGGGTTGTGACCATAAAGCCTGCCTGGGCCCTCAATGGCAGTCAGGTCATCTGGCACCCTGGTCAGGAAGCTGAGTAGATCTGGATGCAAATTTAGACCAGCTTCATCTTTCTTACTCAGCTCCTCTGTTGCCTCATCTGCCAAATGGCAATAATAATAGAGCCTACCTGATCAGCTGGTGACACAAACAACCCAGCATGGAACATGCTAAGTAAATGACAGGTGGCCCTTGATCAAAGACCCAGCCTTCTCCCCTCTTCTAGTGGAAACCTGGGCTGTACATGTGAGGGCACTCATGGTCTCCCATCTCTGGCGCCAGTACACAACCCAGAATGAACACTCAGAGCCTTATTGAGGCCCTAGCCAGGTAGCTCAGTTGGTTAGAGCATCACCCTGATACACCAAGGTTGTGGGCACATACAAGAACCAACCAATTAATGCATAAATAAGTGGAATAAATCAATGTTTCTCTCTCCCAAATCAATAAAGTTTTAGAAAAAACTAGGTCCAAAGTGGTATCCAGGCCAGACCTTAGAGGAATAACCCGAAAGGATCTTAAGGAGCCCCACCCCATCAGTGATGAGCAGGAATCAAAGCGTGGGGAGTACGCCCTGCTCTGCCCTAGCACTGGGCTCCAGTCTGGAGACCCTCATCCATTGTAGATGGTAGACATGGGGCAGAGGGATGGAGGGAGGGTAAATGGGGACCAGGAATAGGGGCTGGCCCTGGACCTGACATCCCCTCTGGCAAAAGTACTTCTCAGAGAGGCTCTGGTGTTTGGCTAGGGCCAGGATGAGGGCTCTGTAAGGAGTAGAAAAGAGATGCCGAGCACCAGGGGTGGCACCCCCTTGCCCAGTTCCTAGCTGCACACCAGCTCTCTATACAAACCTGTTTATTTCTGTACAAAACCATGTTTCTATTTTACACAAAGAGCACCCCCCCTCCCCTCATGTCAGTGCCCTAGCCCTGGGGAGCATTCCTCCAGAAAGAGGGGCCTGAGTGAGGCCCTCACTTCTGCCTGCCCCAGCTGGGCTGGACTGAGCTCCACCCTGGAGAAAATAAATAAGGAGGCTCAGGCAGAATCTGTACTGGGCCAGCCAGGCTCTCTGTACCCAGTGGCCAGGCAGCCGGGCCCTCAGAGGGTGGGGCAGGCCCTAGAGTGTCAGTCCGTGAACCATATAAGTGTGTGGAGACCCCGCCCTGGAGGCCTGAGACGCCAGGGTTACAAGTAGGTGTCCTCACTCTCTTGGGATGTCAGGCTCTCCTGGGAGCAATGGTGGGTTGAAACCTGGGGAGCTGAGTCCTGAAGGGCTGGGTCCTGGTGGACAGGGTCCTTTGGGGGCACATCCTGTGGGGGACATGCATCTCCCCCAGCGATTGCCCCCTTGGCTTGATCTGGCGTTGGGGTCTTTTCCAGCTGCCCACTCGTCTTCTGCTTCTGCTGCTCCTTCTGAATCTGTTTGGGTAGCTTGGGCTTGCCTTTGGAGCCAGGGAGCGGGGCATTTGGGGGCAGGCGGATGGATGGTGAAGGTTGCAGGGTGGGCCAGGGGCCTGGCTCTGCCTCTAGGATGGCCTTGGCACCATGCAGTCTGGGCGGGGAGCAGCACTGCAGTTCACCCCGGGTCTCCTGCCAGCGCCGTAGCTGGATGAGGTGCTCACGCTCAATCTGGCGCTCTGTTACTGGCAACTCTATCACCTGTGGGAACAGTGACAGGCAGGTGGGCACCAGAAGAATCTTCCCCTCTGCCTCCCAGGCTGAGTCCCCACTCTGCCTCAGAGTCCCCCAGTCCTGGTCACTAAAGGCTGACCACAGGAGGAATGACAGTCTGGTCCCCTAGTAGTGGTGAGCTAGGCACTTGAGACCTACTACCTCAGAGGAAAAAGCTGCCCACAGCTCATGACTCCACTCATCTAACTATGTGTCACCTAATTACAGCCTCTAAGAGACAAAAATCCACAAAAGAAAGGAAAAAGGGAAATTAAAGCCAAGGCCATGGATGTGGTACTAGGGAGGAAGAGGGAGAGGTAGGTTGTAGCTCCTCTCATTCCCAAATGGTTCAGAACAGGAAGGCCCCACAAACTTAGGCCTCTCTGGGCCCCTCTTCTTGTTCAGATAGAAGGATGCTGGGCTGCTGAACGCTGAGCCTGGGACCAATGACCCACCCTCAGGGACAGAAGGTTACCAGGCTCCCCTCCAAAGGGCCTGCATGTCTCCCCCTCCAAGTGGTAAGGGGAAGGTGTGGGACCCGTACCTCCTGGACCAGAAACGCCTCCTGCATGATCTTGGGGCTGAGGCTTCGCAGCCGCTCAATAGTCTCATACTGGCCCTGGCAGGCCTTGAGCTTCTCTGGGGAGCCCAGGGCATGCTTCAGCAGCACCAACCCTACCCGGAAGATGATCTTCACTCCTGTATAGGGGTGCAAGCAATGAGTGCAAGGGGGCCTTTAGGAAGTTTCTCTGAAAAGAGAGACCCCCTGTGGGCTGGGCTGGGGGCAGGGGTGCTCCCCAGAGCTCAGCTCTGTACCTTCCAGTACCTTCACAGAAGAACATGTCCCAGACACGCAGCACGGAGCTCCAGGGCAGGGTACGGGCAAAGGCACACATGAACCACTCTGTCATGTAGAGCAGTGGGTCGATCTTCTGCCGGCTCAGGTGCTTGTAGGCCACAGGCGATACCTTCTGTAGCAGAGAGAAGAGGATCTCCCCATCCAGCTGGATTGCCTCCTGGGGGAACAGTGAGGCCATGACCATGGGCCTGCATGAGCCAGGGCAGGGTCTACGCCCCCGCCCCCTGCACCAGGCAAGCATTAATTCCTTCTGCAGGTGGCTACTGCATACAGGGAGCCAGCCTCATGCTGGGTTCTGGGATACAATGAGCAGCCAACAGGCTGCCAATCCCCCTTATGAACATGTGAAAAAGGGCAGAGAGACATGAGTCACAGGAGCAAAAAGACTAGGGAGAGTGGGAGGGGGGCTAAGTGCCCAGAACATGGCAGGAACACTGGGTGAGTATGTGCCAGAGGTCCCACTTGTCAGGGTCAAGGAAAGCTCCCTGAGGGCAGAAAGGAGGAGTTAGAAGAAGGAAGGGAAGGAAAGGGACAGAGGTTTAAGTCTATGCCAAGGCAGGGAGGAACTTGGTGCACTGGAGGAACTGTGATCCTGCTGAGCGGCCAGACAGCTGATGGTTGAGATGGAAACAAGTGTGGAACTGATGATGCTGGAGCCTGGGAGACCTGACCCTAGCAGGCCTGGGGACTTCAGCTTGAAAGCAACAGAAGGCTGGGAAGGTTTCAGGTGGGGGCAGGAGTGCCTGTGGAGTGGCCACAAATGGTGTCCAGCCTGGGGAAGGTTCCAGGACAGGTCCTGGGAACAGCAAGCACTCACCAGTTTCTCACTGTAGTAGCCGGGCAGGTACTTCTCACAGATCTGCACTAGGCACCAGAATGCTTGCTGTGGATGAGAGACACATAAGGCCTTGCTGCTGGGTGTTCCTTTCCCGCCCACTTGCTTGCCCAGGGCCTAGCGGTACCTCAGCAGGCATGTGCATGAGCAGAACAGCGGCAATGGGTGCCTGGGCCTGGCAGTAGCCCTCCTCAGGTCGGTACAGCGTGTAGGCCTTCAGCACACGGAATAGGTCCTGCTGACTGTGGAGAGGCCAAGCATTGCAGGAATGACATGTGTGACTCTGCCACCCACTGCCCTCATCTGTGCCCTATTAGACTAGATCTGTCTCAGAATATGCACTTCTCTGGAAAGGGGATGTGACCCGATTGTGGTCACCAAGGGGTTCAGTCTCCCACTGCAGCACACAAACTCTCATATGGCCAGAGGATGGAGGAAGGGGCTTCCTCCATTTGACTGGTGAGAGTAAAGCCTCAGAGAAAGCAGGCCGTAAGACTAGGGCAGGATGCCAGATACAGTTACCCGGTAAGGATGAGTTGGGGGCTGGAGGTATGACCCCTCACTCATAAGCTGTGGCACCTCAGCCAGCCCACCTTTACCCCAAGTGTCTGTCTTGGTACCCTGGCCTGCCACATCTCTCCCTTCCTACATACCCTCTGTTCACCCCACTATCTCTAACACTCTTTCTCCATACTAAAACCTGTTTCCAGAAGATGATCAGGCCAGGCAAGCTCTAACACTGTGGAGTAAATGATGAAAGTTGCCCAAGAGGTAAGAAGAGACACTAAGAGGACCCATCAGACTCAAACCAAGGAAGGAAAACTCTAAAAGTAGAGTTTGGGGCCCTTAGCTCCTGGGTTCCATATACCCTCAAACTCATTTTACCTCCTCTGACTCCTGAGGAACAGGGCCTAAAGCCACCAGCAGACTACCATGCCCAGCCTGCTCACCCATGTCCTCCCCGGGACACAAACATCTCATGGAAAGGGAACTGTCGGTGCAGGTCACGCTCAATCACATCCAGCCACTTGGGGTCCCCAGGGGACATATCCAGCTCCTGGAAGCAAGGGCAAGAGAATATATTAGGAGTTAGGGATGGCTAGGATGATACAACTATCCCAGGTATTAAAGAAACGTCCCCTCCCCATGGGCAATGCCCACCCAATCCCACCATGGACTGTGCCTTCCTGAGGACAGGCCAGGAAGCCCAGATGAAAAAGCCTGGGCAGGGGCAAAAAGGTAAGGGTGGGGAAGGCCCTGGAAACCCTGAGAGGTGATCCTGGCTCCCGGAAGACCTGTGTGGGTAAGAATGTCCATTATAGCTGTAGCTGGTAGTAACTTCTAGGAATTTCATTCAAGACTCATCTTATGTTACATCCTTAAGATGGAAGGCAATCATAAAAGTCCTATCATTATACTGTTCACAGATGAAGGTCAGAGAAAAGTCATTTGCCCAAGGCTTTGTGATTAGAAAAATGGTGCAGCTGGACGTGGAAGCTAGGTTGACTCAGAACTGTCAATCCCAAGTCTTCTGCTACCTATCTCCCTGTGCAAGTGGAGTCACCTATTCAGGAAGGTGTGTGAGTATGTGTGTGTGCTCTGCACACAGTGCTGTCTGGAAGGACATGACATTTGTCAAAACATTAACCTCAGAGCCATCTCTGTGTGTTGAGATTTCAACAAAGTTTAACTACTTCCTTTCAATTTCTGTGAACATTTTAAGCATGTGTACCATTTAGAAACACAAAGTACAGTTGACCTTTGAACAGCGTGGGTTTGAACTGAACTGCACGGGTCCAGTTATATGCAGATTTATTATTATAATTGACATGCAATATTATATTCATTTTGGGTATACAACAGTGATTAGACATTTATATACCTCACGAAGTGATCACTCTGATAAGTGTAGGACCCATCTGACACCCACCATACATAAGTTATTACAATATTATTGACTATATTCCCTATGCTGTACTTATCCCTGTGACTATTCTGTAACTGCCAATTTGTACCTCCTAATCCCTCACCTTTTTCATCCATCCCACCCCCCTCCCATTTGGCAATCATCAGTTTGTTCTCTGTATCTATAAGTTTGTATCTGTTTCGTTTTGTTTGTTCATTTGTTTTTGTGTTGTTGTTTTTTAGATTCCACATATAAGTGAAATAATAAGGTATTTGTCTTTCTCAGTTCGACTTATTTCACTTAACATATACTCTCTAGGTCCATCCATGTTGTCACAAATGGTAAGATTTCACTCTTTTTTATGGCTAAGTAATATTTCATTATATAAATTTAACACATCTTCTTTATCCTTTGTCTATCAATGGACAATGTTGCTTCCATATCTTGGCTATTATATATAATGTTTCAATGAACATAGGGGTGCATATATCTTTTCAAATTAGTGTTTTCAATATACACAGTTTTTTTAAATCCTCACATAAGTGGACCCACATAGTTCAAGCCCATATGGTTCACGGGTCAGCTGTATTTTTGACCCAATGCTGGGAATCCACATACGCAGTTGGCCAACTTAAGTTATACCTCGATTTTCAACTGTGAGGGGTGTTGGCACCCTTCACCCCATGTTGTTCAAGAGTTAACTGCACTACACAAAGAAAAATCATTTATTTGTCATTTGATATGTTCTATATCTTGATTTGCATGTTGGTTACATGTGTATTATTTGTCAAAATTCACTGAACAACACAATTAAGATGTGTGCATTTTACTCTATATAAATTCATACCTCAACTTTAAAAGAAGAAAAAAATCAATAAAAAGGAAATCCAGAGGACTGAGCAGGGAAGCAGACTAAGTACAAGTTGCCCACAGGACTAAAGCATGAACTATGTCAACAGCTCTCTCATCAGTCCCAAGAGCCTGGGAGAAACCATAATGCCTGGGGCCAGGTCTGATAGATAAGCTGGGGCAACCCCAGAAAAGCCAACTGCCTCCCACAGTTGGGAGCAGGCTAGAGGAGCTTCCCAGACCAGGAAAGCCCAAGCAGCCCCATGAATAGAGAGGTGTTCTTATCCTGGCCACTAAATGGCTTCTGACCCTTAAGGATATTAGTTTGGCTCTGCCACCCCTAGTGTTTATAACCCCATAAGCTACACAGGTGAATCATGTCTGGCTGGGGTTGGATGAGACAAGAGAAAGAGTAGAAAATGGGAGGCCAGGAAGTGTTCAGGGTTGTGTGGCCCTACTGGGCAAGCCCCCAAAGGCCTAAGCACACGCAATCAAGGAACTAGTCTGAGTGTCCCCTCCTGATGAACAAGAGCTGGGTGGTGGCCCTCTGAGCCCAAGAAAGCAAACCTGAGTGAGTGTCAAGAAAAAAAGCTGGAATGGGCAGTTAAATATTTGATGGGTGGCTCCATCCATTGCTCATAGTGCTGAGGTCCACGTGAATGCACGGAGGATCACTCCATGGGAAAGATGTCAAGAGATGTGGAAGGAAGGACAAGGTGAAGGAAAGGCAACTCACGTCAAACTTTCCAGGGTTCTGCTGTAGCTTCACCTTGCCTCCTGACAGGTACTGCCAAGCACGGCCCCGCAGAGAAGGTGGGATGCCCTTCTGGCACCGCAGACGGATCTGAAAGTAAAAGAGAGGAATGTGCCAATGCATCCACCATGGCAGCTCCCCCAGAGGCTGCGTGCCAGCCCAGCCCCTCTGCTGGTGCTTGGCACGCCTTCAGTGAGCACATTAGCAAGAGCAGAAAATGGGGAAAAAGAGGACTTTCCTACCATTGCTACAATGCAGATCCTATGATGGGGGAGGGCGAGGAGTGGTGGTGACTGCAATTAAATGTGCTGCCACCAGGTGATGGCAGAGTCCTCACATCCCCTTGTTCAAGGACAATGTAGGTATTCTTGAGGTCTACCACGAATTCTAAATATCTGTCACCATTTTCTGAATCAAAATTGAACAATACAAGTTGGAGGAGCCCCATAGGATGTCACCAGGAAGGGATCTGCAGTGTGGGGCACAGCGATAGCCACAGGGAGGGTAGCTCATGAAATGAACAAGAATGTGGCTGGGGCACTTTCATGGGAGTATTTGTTTAAGCAGCTAGGTAGCAGGACACAGCCAGCCTAGAAAGAAGAGATCTCAACACAATTCAGAAGGATGATAGGAGCTGATTAAAATGGCTTCCTCTTTGTTTTGGTCAAGAATTCCTCCCTCTCTTCTGCTCTCCCTAACCCTGAGCTACCATTCTAGGGCAGAGGCAGCTGGCCTGGGTGCTAAAATGGCACAGGTCTTCCCTACCACTCACAGACTAGGAGAGGTGAGGAAGGAAGTGTTTGGGATAGCTCATGACCCAGAGCTACTGTTTAATTCATACGTTAGCTATTTTTATCAGAAAAAATGGCTTCCACTGCCAAAACCCACTCTGAAAAAACATGTCTTTCACAAATGGGGAAAATGAGGCAAAGAGTGGGAAAAATATTAAAGCCATACCATCAGAGGTGACCACACCATAGAGGACCCCACTACCTCCTAGCTGCACTATACAGGCTAGAGGGATCCAGTCCCATGCACTTTCTACTTCACTGGCCTCTCAGAGCCAGGAAGGGACATAAGGTCCTCCTGGGCTTGGGATTGAATGAGGCTCTGAGGCAACTTCCCTGATCGTCCTCCTTGACCCTCAATGCTAAGGGTCAAGAAGGATGAGAACAAAGGTAGCCAGGCAAAACTCCTACAGAATGGGGGTAGGGGAAAGACACTCCCCTCAACCCTTGCACTAAGCAGCCTGCCCTGGATGAAGAAGATGGTAACTTAGGGCAGTGGGAAGAGCACCTGAATGTGGGTTTGAATCCAGCATTGACCTTGAGCCAATTACTTCTCATTAATAGTAAGATTGGCATGACAATACCAAGGATTCTCTTAGAATGGGGGGGGGCATGCCTAATAGTCTGTTTTCAATAAATGATGGCTTCCTCTCCACTCCTCCATCCCAAGAGGATGCCTAACACAGGAGCTACAGGGCCTTGAGATCACACCTAACTTCCCCTCACCTGGAAACCCCCTCAAACAGTCCCATTGCAAACTCTCAGAGGAGGGAACACAGAAAGCCTGGCCTTCCTGATGACCAGCACAAACAAGAGAAAACTTTCCAAGGGTCAGAAGGAGTCAAGAACCAGGAAGGAGACAGAGGCTAAGGGCAAGAGGGGAAGAGCAGAGTGACTGGTCACAGGAGTCAAACTTAAGCTTCTGGGACTGCCTGCAAAGTGGGGAGAGGAAGGGAGTGGAAGGGAACTGCTCCATACTCTGGGAACGGTTTCCTGCTGCTGTGAGACAAGGGTCTCCTTAAGGAAGCCTCTTAGTCTGGGCAGGTTTTGACAAAGGGATGTAGTATGGCCCAGAGTCACAGGTCCTTTAAGCTCCCCTCAGGGTGAAGCTCAGCCGAACCAGCTCCTACATCATCACAGCCCTGTCATACTTGGCCTGCTCCAGGAGAGCCCAGGAACACCTTCAGTCCACTAAGGTTCTCAAAGAGGCCATGCCCTCACTCAGGCTCAGGGCTGGGGAGTGAAATCCAGGAGTTCAGTTAGCCTTTCCCGTTCTGGCCTCTGGAATCCTCCTCAGCACAGAGGTAATCTCTACCTGCCTGCCTTACGAAAAGGCAATGGTGGGGATCAGTAAGGATAAAGCAAAAGAAAGTGCTCCAGTAAACAGAAAGCCTAAGGGATTATCATTCTCTGAGGCAATGCCTTGGGAAAGGAGGCCTGTGTGGCTGTTGAGTAAGGCCACACCCTGCTTGCTGAATTCATACTGCTTGAGCAGAGCCCTAGAAGGAAAGACAGCATTCTAGCCACAGGGCTGGGCCCCCCTCCTGGGGACTCAGGATAAGTCCAGGAATAGTGTTGGGTCTGGACACACTTCATGAAACAGGTATTGTCCTTCCTGTGCCATGACTTTCTCACCACAGGGAGAGCCCAAGCCTGCACAGCCAGGCAGGCAAACCTCCCAGGGCCAGTGTGGCCACAACTGAGGTGGCAGGTGTACAGCAGAGGGCTAGGGCCTCTGGGTAGGGGCAGGGGAGTGAAGCCTCCTATAGTGGGCCCTGCTAGGCAAGGATAGCCCTCAGCCTCTAACCACAGTGTTAGGGAGGCAAAGGGGAAGAGGAAGTGGTGCTGGTTCCTCTGCTGAGAGTAGCTCCCCAAGGCACCCCTCTGGAATCCCCATTTGCAAGGGAGGCTGTGGCAAGAAGGTCAGAGTCACTAGTAACCACAACAGACAGTGGAGAGGGAGCTGAAGCTCGGGGTAGGAGTCCGAGGGGTGAGGAGGCAGGGAAACAGACCCCAGAGTCAGACTGGAGGCAGTTGAGGAACAGCTGCCTTAAAAATATGTTTGTTTTTTTTTTAAAGAGAAAGAAAGGCATTCTAATAAGCAAAAAACGAGTCCCCTAAAGCCCACATAGAACAGCAAGAAAAGAGCCCAGGCCTAGTTGCACTTCTCTTCCCATGGGCACAGGGCTTTACAGTCAACACCTCATAGAAGCCTGGCAACAGGATTGTCATTCCCACTTGATGAGTGAAACTGAGGCTATAAGGATGAAGTGACTCACCCAAAGTTACACAGCTAGCCAGGGACATGAAGAGAGGACGGCAGTGAGGCTGGGCCCAAGCCCATACCTGACCTTTGATCCTGAGCTTTCTGCTAGGCCCTGCAGCTAGCTGTGCCAGCCTGGACCACACCACTGTATCTGCTGATGACAGCGAGCCAGTGGGTTCACTCTCTGCACTAGGAACTTGTACAGAGAGACCCCAGCTGTGTGGCTCTGAGCAGGCCTCCACTAGGCCAGGGAGTAAGTAGACCCTGCTGAGGGGGTCAAGAGCATCAACACATACTCATAAGAGTGGTGGGCAAGGACATTCCTACCAGGCAATAGAGTTGATGCCTAAAGATAGGCTGACTAGACAAGGCCCACTCATGTTTTCGTTTTTATACGACTATTAAACTGTGAGATTGCTTTTCTTTCTTTTTGCTTTAGCCAGGAGACAATAGGAGACTCATCAAATTAATCTAGGGAGTAAGGAAGTTCCCTTATTGTGGTGATAAAGAGCATAGGCACTAAAATTACTAGATACCTTGGTCCAAATTTTGATTCTGCAGGTCATTTCTATAAAGTGGAGATGCCACTACTACCAATCTCACTGGGTTGTTATAAGGGTTATCCAAGTCAAGTGTCCAGCACATGGCAAATGTTCTAGACATTTATTATTATAAAGTCCTCCCCATAGGTAAGCAGCAGTAAGGACTTCCCCAGGAGGGGGTGGAGGAAAGCTACCCATAGAAGCTTTAAGCTAAGAGCAGCTTTGAAGTTTGACTACAGGACAAAATTTGCATGAGTCTGAAGTCATGTGGGAGGACCAAGTGAAGGCTGGGCCCTGCTCTCCAAACAGCTTCTGCTCCCATTACAGAGCTGGTAGATGGGGCACACCTAAGGCAAATGGCAGTTGGAGAAGCCCCTGCTCCTCTAAGCTGAAATAGTTTCTCCCTCTTCCTCTTCCTCCACAGGCTACCAACTCCCAGCCCAAGGCCCAAGGCTAGGCCCCTCACCTTTTTGTGCTTCTTGGCCATCCACTTGTCCCAGTTGTTGAGCATGTCCAGCCACTTGGACTCTCTCTGCCTCAGCACCTCCAGGGGGACTTCCTCCAGCCTGTGGAGCAGAGGGCAGGGCCCATCAGAGGTGCCAAGAGAAGCAAAGGCCTTGGCTTAGGCCCTAGCCGCCAGTCTGGTCAGTCCTCTTTCTTCCCCCTGCCCTCCATTCCAGCCATTCCCTTTGGGGCTGCTAACTCATGAATGCCCTAACACAGATGAGAGGAAACTCTGCCCCCTCCCTGAAAAGCATAGTCCAGAGAGACATCAGGTTCAAGTGCCTATTCCCTCAATGTGTCAAGGGGCCAAGGGTCACAATGTCTTTCTGAGGCAGAGGCCTGAGTGCCTGCATTTGTGCACCAAAGCAAAACATTCCTGTCCTGGATTTGTCTTGATACATAAGCCTCTTCAGAGGGCCTAAGTACAAAGTGCAGAGTTGGATGAAAAAACTAGTCAAACAAGTACAGAAATAACATACTCACCTCTTCACTCCAGCAAAACTAGTTACTCATAGTTTCCCCAATTACACCCTGGCCCTTTCCCACCTTTCAAATTTTGCTCGTGCCAGTCCCTTTGCTGGAACGCTCTCCAACTTGTCTCTACCAATCAAAATTCTACACACACATCAAAGCCCCAACAAATACCACCTGTATTTGTACATCTACTAACTGAGCAGCTATCACAACTGTGTCAGCATTGTTCTAGGGCCAGCGCCTCTGGGCAGGCTGTGGGGAAGCACTCCTGTGACCAGAACAAAGTCCTGGACCTCATGGCTTTAACATTCTACTAGCACTGAGTGCTCTCTAGAGCTGCTGGGGGAAACACCTTAGCATAGAGACACACCCCAGGCAGGTAGACAGGCACAAAAGCAGCTGAGGCAGGCTGGGGCAGGAATCCCTGGCTTTGCCTGAGGGTACTTCAAGTGAGTGGGCTTCTTCTAAGGAGTGAGTCCCCAGGAATTCATGAGTTCACCTAACTTTGAGGGGAAATGAGAAGGAGGAGACTAGCATTTGTAGGCTGGGTATTTATAGATGTTTTACTATTTAGCCTACAGAGCAATATCAGTAAAACAACAACAAAATGTATATGTGCACCTCTATATGCACTCTCTCTTCTTAAAGTTATTTTTAAAATAGATGATTATAGATCTTTTAAATTTCTTTTTTGTGCTTCTTATTTTTTCCATTTAAAAAAGATATCCAGACAGGGTATCTTGCTCAGAGTCAAACAGTAAATCAGCGGAAAAACCCAGACTCAAATCCAAGTCTAATCCTAGCCAAGAGCCTACACTCAGTCCTGCCTGACCTCCCACTAAAGGCATTGAGGCGACTGGGAGGAGGCTCTCAGGAACAGGACACGGTGAGGCTAGAGCTTGGCCCAGACCTCAATTCTGATTCTCTCTCTGACGGAAGGAAATGCTCTGCTGTGACTTTTACTGGTTGGAAGAGCAGAGGGAGGGGCCCTGGCAGAGCGGAGGCCTCAGAGACACAAAAGGGCAGGTCTTCTTTTTCAGTGCAGTTTTTCTGGGGAACTGCACAAGCCTGAGAATAGCCTCAGAGCCGAACAGCTGAGGAGAGACAACAGCCTAAGGCAAACCTGGTGCCTCTAGAAACACTGACACTGGTCATCCCAGTCTTGAACTTCTGACCCTCTCACTACCTAGAGGCAAAACCAAGGCATGAGGACACTCCCGTTCCCTCCTTGAGAGATGAAAAGCAGAGACCACACCTTTAGATCAGGTCGGGCAACCCCTAAACACCCAGGGAGCGGAAACCAAAGAACCATGCATCACAAGCCATCCTGCCTTCCACCACCTACAAAACACTCGATTATACAAGTCAGGGGATGAGCCTTCTAGTTAACTAAATAAAAGGGAGTGCCCATACTGAGTCAACAGGAAGTTTTGGCAGTCATGGATGTGGATCATGTCTGATCAAATCCCCCCATTTAGCAGATGAGAAAACTAAGGCTCATAGAGGGCAAGGCTTTCACCTGAGATTACCAGTTTTCAAAGAATTCCCCTGTAATACATGCCCATTTGACACCTCAACCTTTGGGTCTGTCTGTCTTTGTTGCTAAGATCTGATTGCAGGGCCTCAGAGATACCCATTCTCCCAAATGCAGATACACAGGGGAACACATTCAAGTTCAGTGTTTTTTCTTTTTTAACTGATGCCAGATAACAGCTTTGGCTGTTTCGAAGCCCAAACGTCAGACCTCAAACCGGAATTTCAATTGGGTACAAAACAAACAACCATATTTCCTGGATTCTAAGATACACCGTTGATTTGGCAAGACCTCCTCAGAAATATACCAAAAAAATCCACCACTACTTTAAATGTACATGTCAACTGAAAGATTTTATTTTGATTTTTAAAACTTTAAATTAGATAATTTTTGAGGAAATATGGTCATTTGAATGGCTTCTCCTCCATCAGCAGAGTTTAAATGGTGAGAAATGGTGAGAAAGAAGATACTGAAAGTCTAGTTGTACCTAGTGCTCAGCACACCACATGCTTTCTAACCGCAGACAGACTTCTCTTTATGCACAGGATGTACCCTGAAGAGTTGTAGGCTATCCATTTATTAAAAATCAGAAGATTCACGTATCCTTTAGTCTAGTCAGTTAGGACCTCAGAAAGCATCTGATCAAACTGGTGTCTAATATAGGAATCCTTTCTACAACAGGCAAGTCCCTTGCCCTCTCTGAGCCTCAGTTTCCCTATATGATTGGATGGCTTGCATTGTGAATTGACCCTCAAAGGATCTCCAGAAAGGAGCCATAGATGAAGTTGAGGTCAGGCTGCCCCTACTAACAACATGATGAGATATAGGCCCTGAGGTGGCTTCCTCCTGGTAGTGGGAAGAGAGCATGAACCTATTTCTAATGACAGGGAAGATGACCATGTGACCAGTTTAAGGAATCAAATGGCCCATGGGGGGATGCTTCAGGTCTGAGGGTTTCACTCACCTTTCAGAAAACCCCCCTTTCCTTAAGGTGGCCTGAGGGGGTCTCTGCAATCAAAAGAACTTAAGGAGAACAGTCTCTAGCAGCCCAGCCTCTGCTGGAATACCTCCAGATATGGGGCGTTATCTCCAGGTGAAGCCACCCTATTGCTGAAGTTTTTTACTGTTAAAACTTTCTGCCTCATGTAATTCCAAAATTTTCCTGGTACCTTCTTCCTATAATCTCAACACCCCCTTCTAAGGCTGTACAATTCTCATACCAGGAACATACTCTGCTTATTTATCCCTTGACACTCACTCATCTCTACCTGGAATGCCCTTTTTTCTCCCCTCTCCAAGTCACCATAACCCTTTCAGAGCCCAATATAAAACAACCACTTCAATGATAACAGCAGCAACAGTAGCTGTCATTTGTACATCATTTACTATTTACCAATTTCTTTCTAAATGGTTTACATATATTATCTCATGTACATTTCATTAAAAACCTACCATAATATCATTTTACAGAAGTAGAATCCAAGACTTAGTGAGGTTAAGTGCCTCATTCAAGGCCATGTAGCAGTGACAGAACTGAAACTAAAACCCAGGCCTGCCTGACTCCACAGTCCATGCTTCTGACCCTTGCACTACACCCCTCTGTCTCTACAGGTCAAGCCCTCAGCCTCCACACCTACCTAGATCTCATTAACTGTCTTCCAACCTGAAGACTTTCATCCTGATTTAAGAACACTATTTCTCAAAGTTTTTAAACTGAGACCCACAGTAAGAAATACATTTTATACTGAGATTATATATATATACACACACATATATAACCAAAATAGATTTTATGAAACAATTTACTCTTACATGTACTAATGCACTCAGATATTTCAGTTCAATTTTATACTATTCTATGATATTTCTTTATTTTCAATGCTGATTGCAATCCCCAAAACTGATTTTATCACTAATTCATTAAATCAAGACATGAAGTCTAAAATGAGCAAGTCATTCCAACCTGCTCATATTGTTCTGCACTGTCCCTCCCTAACTGGACTGGGTCTTGAACTTCTGTAACTCCCAGTATGTACCTCACAGGTATTCAACAGGTACCTGCCTGGTTTTTGCCATGACATCATGATTTTCATCTGCACTGCATTCAGGGCTATAAGCCACTGCTGCCTACAGTAATTTTATTTGTGTTCCTAATAGCCCAGTAAGGTGGATCCCTCATAGATTAATTACTATTTCCATTTGGCCTATGAAAAACTTGACCCATTCAGAAAGGTTGTATGACTTGGGCAAAGTCACAAAGCTAATAAATGGCAGGACCAGGGCTTCCCCTCTGCCACAGTGACTTGTGTTCTGCTTCTGGCTCCCTTGGGAAGGCTGTGGGGAAATCAGGCCGTTCTAAAGATGCTGCCGCAGAGCTCTATCTCTGGCCCCCAAACCCCTAGAGACAGTCTAACCCTCTCCTCCTGTGTTCTGACTGCCTCAGTGAGTAGCCTGCCCACTAGCAATGCTCAATGAGGCTGATAATGCTGAATGAATGCAGCCTGCAAGCAGAACCTCAGTTGGAGACAGCAAGCCTGGGCAATGTGCCATTTGCCAGCCACCCTCTCCCAAGGGAGAGTGGCACAGAGGAGACAAAGGTAGGCTGCCTGGAAGCCCATGATCCCAGATTCTGTTGGGCTCTTGGGCTGAGCTAGGCTTAGGTATGCTGTGCTACGCCACAGCCCAAGGTGGCAGTGGCATACCACTGACTCCATATGCTCTGTAAGCAACCAGTTCCCATGCCTTCTCCCCAAACCCAGAGGCTGGGGTCTTCCAAGAGCTCAGAGGGACAAGACTGTTTCCCAAGGCTACTGAGACTGCAGGTTGGGGTTCTCGCTCCCCTTGTCTTTCCAGCTGTCTGCTTTCTGCCCGGGCATATCTCATCCTCTCTGGTTGGCAGGCTCAGTCAGGTTGGTCCCTGTGCCCATGACCTCTTTATGTGACAGTGGAAGATGAACCTTGGTCCCAAGGAACCAATTAAGCTACTCTTCCAAGCTTTACTCTCCAAATCAGCCCAAAGGAAGAGAAAAACAGCTCCAGCAGAAAGCCCAAGGT